CTACTTCTCGGAGAACAACCAACCACGGGGAAATTTCTTTAGCGACCGCGTCAAACTACGATTGACGTATTTCACCTGGGTATCTCACCTCCATTATGTCTCCTTTGAGGTAGGCGTGGGGCTCGTTAGCCGCCATGAAGAACGACTCTCCCTCTCCCATGCGCAGGTAGTTCAGGAGCAGCGGCATCATGATGCCGATGTCCCCGGGGTATTCCTTCGACAGACGCCGCATGAGGTCCTGGACGTAGTAGTCCTCGGTACGCAATCGCCCCAGCATCATCTCGCCCTTCTCCCGGTATTCGTAGTCCGCGCCGTAGATGTCCTCCATGTCGATCTCCTCATGATCCGTGTGGTCCTGCACAAGCGAAAACAGGCGACAGGTTTGGATTGACAAAAGGGCGGCGTTCGTCACAACATATATATTCTATATATATAACGAAGCGAAAACTGCGAGAGTACTTGCAGCCGAATATACATCGACAGACGAGCAAGAGACAGCACTATTCAGCTGCACCACAGATCAGCGGCAGTAGTGACTCGACTCCCCCCGCCCCCATCCAAAAGAAGACAAAAAACAAATACTCACGAGACTCTCGTCGGACATGAAGCCCCCGTCGTCCGCGCGCTCGCCCAGCCTCTGCACGAGCGCGTTAACCTGCGTCGCCACGACCTCGGGCTTGGCCGTTATGTACGACTGGAACAGCTTCCGGAGGGCGTCGCGCTGGTCTTCCGGGTCTTCGGGGAGGCTGCACATGGCGCGCATCGCCGACAAGCTCACGAGGCCGCGCAGCTCGGGATACCGGTGAAGGTTGAACACGATCTCCTCGAAGGGCCGGAAGCCGCAGAGCCCCTCGAAGTCCGACAGCGCCACGGCCATCTCGGGCTTGTGGTTGTCGTCCTTGTACAGGTCGGGCCGCGTCGCGTACAGGCGCTCGGCGAGCTTCTTGTCGGGGTGGGCCTGAAAAGCGCGTGGGGGTCGGTGCGTGCGTGGGAGTATTTCACGAAGGACATGCGGGAATGAGAGAGGTGTACCGACGGGGTGTGCATAGCTGTGTTGTTTTTTGGCTACCATACAGGTGCCCACGGATGAAATGCCAGTACGCTAGGGTACTTTTGTCTGTGTCAGCAAGCCGGCAGTTTACGACATGGTTGCGTTGGTCGCACGATAATTCACGAGTTACAAATGAGCGTATGAAAAAATGTGGCCTTCTTCGTCCGCCGTACAAGAAGCAGGACCAAAACCAAGCAACCGCAAAAAACCATTGCTTGACGGTTAATATTTTTCGGTCGTTCGTCGGACGAACTCATTTAAACATGACAAACGCAGACGACACGAACGCGATGCTGCAGCAGGGAAGGTGGCGAAAGAGTGATATAACCTCAAAGAATATATACGGCCGGGAATATTTAGTCGAGGTACGCATCTCTCGGCAACAAGCGATTCAAAGGAATGATCTTGAATCACATCGCACACAACCGCTTCCTCAGTCAGTCACTATTGTGTATGCATATGTATGAGCAGGTCAAAACGAAGCACGGGAGTGGATGGGCATGTACCGTAGAACCTCCACGTCGATTGAATGGAATAAATGAATCTCCAAGCTCAGAAGACATTCAACCGTATCTGCCCAAAAAGAACTTGGAACGGTATTTGGGTACATACACACGCATGCTGCAGGATACACACATCCACGCGACGCGGAACTCAAGTGCGTGCCCAGCTTGCGCCGAGAGGGATGGATGGATGGATGGATGTAGAAAGGGATGTACACGCGGGAGGTAGCCTCCTCACGACAGAAAACAAAATGAATGAATGCAGATGTTCTGTGCCAAAGGCCGCCTATTTAATCTGCCTTCTACGTTGTCGGTTCAACGTGTGCAGCGGCAGCAGCAGCAGCTGTTACTTCCAAAAATGAAAGAAAAGATGGACGCGAAAATTCATATTCCTGACAGTCCGTTAAAGAGGGGAGACGTTCTGTCGTTCTGGCACAGTTCCTGGTCTCCGTTGGAAGCGACGCGCTGCAAAGCTCGTTGTTAGTAAACTTGATCGACTTCACAAGTCGCGAGGGAAGGAATTGCTGTACCCTTCTAGTGATAAAAATGTCAGGAGAGAACCGCAGGAGCGGGTCCAACCTCCCCCCTCCTACGTGACCCCGGTTGGGTCGTCTAGCTGGAAGAAGTGGATAGGGGCCAGAAGGGCAGACGACAGAGTCCAACGATGGGAGAGAAACAAAAAAAAAGTTCCGCAAAACATCAGACCGAGGCGTTTGACGTCAGTATCATCCAGCGCACACGACGATTCCCCGAGAACACATTTTCGCTGAAAAAGCGAAAACCAAAAACCAACAAATCTGCATCTATTCTATGATATCTTGCAGTGTATATGCGCAAAACGCACGCGCCCTCATACAATGTGCAGACAACAAAACAAAAAATCTACCAAAAGACCGAACATGATGAGTACGTTGTAGGAGGGAGAGACAGCGGGGGTCGCAGCAGCAGGAGTGGAACAACATGCAAAAATCATCTGTTGTTCACACCGACGAACAACCAACTAACCTGGATACTCAGAGCCTTGTCGATGGAGAGGACCTTAAACATGAAGGGCAGGTCGCCCTGCTCCTGGAGGTCACCCAGGTAGTGCGGGTGGGTCTCCAAGAGCTCGATCAGGAAGATACCGGCGTGGCCTTCTTCAGCCCCCTCAGAGAAGTCGCCGGGTTCGGGCATCACCCGACTGGGACCGTTGGGGTGGGTACCCATCCACAGCTCGGCGTACGTCTTGTCGTCCTCGGTCTCGAAGCCCTCGTTCTCCATCATCTTGAGCTTGGAGACCATGCTGTCCTTGCCCCTCTTGCCCCAGGCATAGTTCTGGACTGCACAATTCAGTCGCCTCATGATTTCTTCCCGGCTGTGTATGTAAGCGAAGAACAAAAAAAAGGCGCCTTTCCACCTGCCAGATGTCTGGAGCAAAAAACTGGGCGAAAAAAACGAGAAAACGCGTCGGAGGGAGCGAACGTCCAGCGTCGAAAAAACCGGCTGGCTGTCACATCCAACGATCGTGCTGGCGAGGGTAGGCAGCAGCTGGCCCGTGTCGTCACCAAAAGCGAGGCGCGTGATTGTTACAGGGTCACAAACAGGCAGGGCCCAGAAAAAAGACAGAAAAAAAAATTGGACAGCGGCGGGCAGGAGAGCAAAAGAAGGTTCACGGCAAAGCACCCCCGCACGGCCGGAGGGCACGCGCCACGTACTTGAACGAAGAGGACGCCCGCACGGCAGCCCGCGGTCCCCACGGCTCACCTGAAGTCAGAGTCGGCGTGGGTGGGCAGCGTGGAGCCGCTCCGAGGGTCTCGCGGTCGTGGGAGAGGGAGTGGGGGAGAAAAGGTCGGTCCCCGAAGGTTGGTTGGAAGAAGTGCAGGCAGGGGGTGCGAGCGACCGTGCGAGACCAGAGAGAACAACCTTTTTTTTTTTCCGGGAAGACTATCCGGGGTTTCAGAGATAATGCTTGTCTCCAGGGGGGAGGGAGGGGGGAGAAAAATCTTTGTAAAAAAAAAAACAGGAGAAACGAATCTTGGTCTTCCGCGCTCTCCACTACTTGCCTGGCCCTGCCCAGCCTCTCGTGTTGCGTATATAAGCATCCAGCTTGGCCCTGTGGCGATGGTCCAGTAGCGTGCATAAAGAACTGCTGGTGAAGGACCTTCTCTCTCTCACAAATTGGAGGCAATCACTCGTGAAGGAATAATAATCTTACATCCTTGAGCCACCACGTACGTGCGTGCATGGAGAATCTTGCCGGAAGTGGACAAGTATGTGTGAGGCGGGTGTGTGTCTGGTCTGGTGGTGGTCCTTCCGAGCGTGTGGGGTACCCGAACAACGCCTGAACTGTGAGAACCAGAGTGAGAACCTGTTCCACAATACGTAGTGCATTAATTCTGAGTTTCGATTCTTTCGAGCACGGTTAGACGACAGAGATTCGAGCATTCGAAAAACGAAGAACTAAATAGACACATCACAGCTGCTGCTGTGGAAAGATGCTATTGTCGTCAGCAGTGGGCAGTATGAGGAGGTTTTTCAGTGGGTGCCTGCCGAGTCGCCCGCACACCACGTAGTCGGTGCTCCGCCGTGGGAGGCTTCCCAGTGCTCATTGGTTCGGATGTACCTTGTCACGCGATCCCAAACAAGCAGAGATCCCAAACAACAGCAGATAGATCATCAGCGAGGCTACTGTTGTTGCTAATGATTAATTTTTTGTTCTCTTTCTCACATTAGTCCCAGTATTAGTAGTACAGAGTGGGGGCTACGGTTGAAGAGAGCTCAGTTTTAAAGAATTGCCGATTTAAACCGTATTAAGAGAAGGTCATGTTTTAGAGAGGTCTTCGGGGTGATGCACACCCCTCTCTCAAACCGTAGCCCCCACTGTACGACAATTAGAATAGACCAATTTCTATTCATTGAGACAAAATTCATCCCCTTGAGAACATATTTGGCAATTCTTGTAGCGAGAAAGGGCATATTTTCTTCGTATTTTTTTTGTTTTCCCATCATTGGACTCGGTCGACTGCCCCTCTGGCCCCTATCCTCCACTTCTACTAGCTAGACGAACCAACCGGGGTCACATAGGAGGGGGGGGCTGGAGGTTCCTGCCTGACTGAGGTATTTTTATCGCGAGAAGGGTACAGCAATCCCTTCCCTCGCGACTTACGAAGTCGATTATGGTTTACAAACAACGAGCTTTGCAGAACGTCGCTTTCATCCTAGACCAGGATTAATTTAGTGAGAAAAAAACCCACTCTGCCGGGACTCGAACCCATGACCTGCCCCTTAGCAGGCTGCGAGGTTACCCACTAGACCACCGGGGCGACCGTACGTGTTCCGTCCTGTCTCTGCAAAGTATTCGACAAACGTCCCAGATTACTTTACAGCAGTCTAACGATCGATCGATAGATAGATCTGTAAATCCAGCGCATACAAATATTGCAGAGGCGAGATTACACTAGCAACACCAATCTCAGGCGTTCGCCGCAGGCTTTCTTTGGTGCTCAAGAAATGGCAAGTCCATGTGTATCCCTCTCGTGCTACCGCAATCATGCACATCTATTTGGCATGCAGACCACACAGCAGAACATTGCCAAAATTTCATCATCACCGGGAAACGATATGTAGTTTTCGTGCGGGAACATGACTTCCAGATAGACTACATTTGTCAAAAAGTCCGGGGGTACAGCAGTAGCCCCGCTCCCCCCCACTCCTACGCCTTCGTGGAAAATTAACCAGGGTCCAGTGAAGTTGCTTCCGAAACAACAGCCTTCGCAAGAGCACGGGTAGGTGCTGCTTGGAAAATCCCGCATTCCGCAACAGCTACACTACGTAGAGCACTGGGCCCTCTATAGTGCAGGTTCCCGGTATAGTGCTCATCACAGATTTCAGCTGGTAACATAAACGTATTTATTCTTCGATTCTGAATAGTGCAGGTGCCCGGTAAGTGGAGGTAAAATCTCTGGACACACCCCTGCACTACAGAGGGCCCAGAACTTTAAGTGTTAATTCAGCAACGAGAGACGGCAGTGTTGCCAACTTCTGGATGCGGTTTCCTACAGTAGATACTAGCACCAGAAATAAATCCTTTTAATTCTTCTTCGTCCCCCACCTCTGCAGCAGTATGTACGCATACGTTGTACACGCACGATGAGAATAAGAAAGGGTCTTGACGCATCTCCCGAGACAAGCTACTGTATCGCACAACAAGCGTGCATCACCCGGCGACACTGCTTCGTTCGTACAGTACCGCCGTTCCGACAAGGACGAAAACCATCGCCTGGGGCTGGGATCTGCGCAATCTCACCCGCACAGCACGTCACCGAAACAAATACGGTGCTCTACAAGCGCTTCGCATCGTCTCAAATCTCAGCCATCGTCTCCTTTGCATCCGTTGCTCGGTGCGGTCGGCAACTACAAGAGTTGCTACAAGACGTCGACTCGACCCATCTCCAGCGCGCACACAGACACGGCGGTTAGCCTTGCGAGACCGACCGCCTCAAACTAACAGGGGCACAGACAGCCAGCCTCAAAAAAAAAAAACACGGCTGAGTTTTACGTCTACCGGCGCCTGTCGTCACGGCGGTCATCCCTGCCTCTGTCCCCCCTCCTTTCACCCCCTCTCCTGTCCCCCCTCCTTTCACCGTCACCACCGCGCCGTCCTCCTCGACTGTCGTTGTCACGATCCCGCTCCCCTCCCCCCCGGCGGTCTCGCCCGCTGCCGTTCCTTTCCTCACGACCACCATCCCGGTCGTCAGAGCGCCTCCCCCCCCACCCCCC